TTTTTTTTTTTTTTGGATTGATTGATTGATTGATTGATTGGTGGGGGATGGGTCGCCCCCCCAATCCCCACCCAATCACACACACACACACACACACACACACACACACACACACACACACACACACACTTGCGTGGGGTTTCAAAACTTTTTTTTTTGTTTTGTTTTCATTTTTGTTTTTAATTTTTTTTACTTAATGAAAAACAACAATGCCCCCCAAAAAAATATGGGCGTGTAGGGTTTTTTGAACCCTACACGCCCATATTTTTTTATTTTTTTTTTGTGCACTAAAATACGGGAAAAMAATTGTTGCACCAAACTTGGCTGGTCGGCCGTGGCCGAACCCGGCCGATTTGGCCGACGGCCGAGGCCGCGGCCGACTTGACCCCCCCGGCCGCGGCCGGACGTGCAACATAGGTCCCACCATCTCCACAGCCAGAGGGCACCTGGGCATTGGAGGAATATGTGTTCTATTGTTTCAGGCCGTTTCCTAGATGGGAATGCATTTGTGCACAGCTTGCACCATGGGAGAGCACGCCCTCTCTGCTCCAGGGATGTTCTATCTATCAACCAGTTATTTGTTGGTAGGCAGCGGTGCTCAAGCTGCCATTGGAGTGAGGCCAGTTTGGCCGGTTTTGACTTGGCCATCCTGAACCATCTGATTGGTCTAAGTTCCCCTTTGCTGATATTCAGGTGGTTTCTCCAATGCTCCTCCACCTGGTTTCGAAGACTGTTTTTTTTATCTTAGGAGCCTATAGGTTGATTTGACTGTTAGGTCATATAGTGATTTGGTGGATCGCTTGCCTTTAACTGCCATTTCGTCAAAATGAACATCTTTTGTTTTTTGAACGAGACGCAGCCGGCAGGGCCCGGCTGCCTTCCATGCGATCAGGCGCCTGCGTGGGTCAACGTGGGGAGCTTGAGCTGCGTTTCCTGCCCCTGGTCAGCGGCGACGCTGACGTGGCAGTCCCATTAGATGTGGGGTTGGTAGGGAGCATGGGAGATCGTCGGCGCGAATTCTTTCGCGGTATACAGATGGCGTCGATGGGGGACAAACAGCGAGGGGCCACCGACTGGCTTATATTCATTCAAGGTGCTCGCTCTCGATTAGAGGTGATGGTGGAGGCACTGCGATCACAACTGGGAGTTCGATTTGAGGCTGTTGGGGGGGCAGCTTCTTCGAGTCCGCCGTATCGGGAGGTGATGGCGAAGATGTTGCAGATTGTTTACGAGGACTTGCAAACGGATGGTCGCATGGATGGTCAACTGGAGGCTCTAAAGCGGTGTTGCGATGACATCTTTGAGGAGGGGCAGGATGTGTACGCAGCGTTGGAGGAGGATTGGTACTTGCACTTGGTCGATACGGAAGATGAGGACTACAGCAACGCATGCATCACCGGTGGAGACGAGCTGGAGGAGGGTCAAACTGGTGTCGATAATGCCCTCGTTGCGGATAAAATTGCAACTAATAATAACGTGGTCATGCAGGTCTGGGGCAAAGACATAGGGATCGTCAGCCTGGGCTTGTCCGACAACAACATCGTCAACAACAACAACAACAACAACAACAATAACAAAAACAACAACACGAACAGCAACTACGATGCAGGGATCATGGGCGCCGACAATACTGCGATTGTTGAGCACGACACTGGTGCAAGTGACGAAATCGAGAGCCCCTGCACGCCGGATTGCGATAACTACACCGGTGACAACAATGAGGATACTAATAACAACAACGACAACCACATAAACAATATCATTGACGGCGGTTTGGTAAGTGTGGTAGGGGTTCCTGTTTTTGTCTACCCCTCCTTCTTTCCCCCACAGGCCTTTCTTCCTTGCAACTCTGTTGATGATCTGGGGGGAGGGCGAAGGGGCAGTTTGAATGGCGCGCCCAGCAGATTGGAAGGGTGTGGGGGACAGCCAAGGGTGCGATGGGTGCGCGAGGGGGTGGGCTAGACAGTGGCTTCGCTTATCTTACCTTCCAGATGCCATGTATTGGTAGGGTAGTTCTGGCCACGTGCTAATGGGGCATGAGGCGATATGCCACGTGGCGCTGTCGATTTCTGTTGAGCGGCCCATCAGGGCTTTGCCACGTGGCTATCAGGTTCTGCTCATCCTGCTCAATGATCTTTGGGTGGTAGAAGAGTAGTTTAGGGTGGGGCGCAAACTCATGCTCTGGGGATAAAATTCGATTTGGGTATGCATAACCTGCGATTCCGATAGATGTGACGTGTTGCCACGGGGTGAATTTTGGTTTCTGGAATGTCGGATTCAGTATATTAGACTCTCTAATTCTCTATTCTGGCTACCCCCCCCCTCATAGTGCTGTAAGGTTTTGTAAAAGATGTGACGAGGGCGGCGGAATAGGAACAACGATTTTCTCATATTGAGATGGGCAGTGGGCAGTGGGTGATTGATGCTGCTCGTCATGATTGAAGTACTCCTTGCGATGTGGAGGGAGGACTCGCCTCATCCTCAGATTACGAGGATTGGAGGGGATATGGTGATCTGTATGATGAACTACGTTTCGCCACGTGGCCGCGCTCAAAGGTGCAGAAAGGACAGTAGGGATAGGGGTCAGGATTGTCTATAAACGCTTGGCCACATGGCGCACTGGTGCCTCCTCGGTAGAGTAGGATGTGAAGATCTTGACGACCCGGGGGGGGCACTGGGGCAGGTGGTCTTATAGTTGAATTTGTGAATTCCCACTCCAAATACCCCTCCCCGTTGTGGTGTTGCAATTAGTGATAGTTGATGATACAGGTTTTGGGGTGGATATCTGGTTTTCATAGGGGTGAGCAGTTAATCCCCTCAGTGGAGGGCAATCAATGCTGCTCATCAGGATATGGACTGCCGCGTGCTCATCCAGCTGATCGTGCACATCTTTTGCAGGATTGACAGGTGGCACGTAGATATGACTTCATGACTGTTACTAGTAATCTCTGTGTTGTACGATGTATCAAAGGGACGCTGGACCCGGTTTCCAGTAGGTGTTGCTCCCCACCAATAGATGGAGCCTCCCCGACGGTGCTAGATGTGTCTGCTCTTATCAGCACATCTAGCATCCAATCGGGCTGTTCATGAAAAAAAAAAAAAAAAAAAAAAAACCCGAGTTTTTTTACCAAAAACTCGTCAAAATTTATTGTTCCTGAGGGTGCAGCGCTGGACCCTCAGGAACAACAAATTTTGACGAGTTTTCGGCCAAAAAAACTCGGTTTCAATTTCGTTCAAAAAATAAAAAATATCCATTTTGACGAAATGGTCGTTCTTTCCCCTTTTGGGTCGACCATGACCATTCCAACGGATCCAAGGCTAAGTGACCCTAGAGGAAGGTGATGCTCAAGAAGTGCCCTATGACGCAATAGAGTACGAACTAGACGTAGACAGTGGTGTAGGTTCTGGAGGGACTTCTGCTGTTGTTGCTAGCGAGGGGAGGCCAGGAATAGGACGTGGCCGAAATGGCCAAGGTCGTGGAGGAGGACCAGGCCCCCAGAGGGGCAACGGTGGTGGAGGCCGTTATGTGGGTGGTAGGGGTCAAGGTCCCTTGCAGGGTCCATTTGGGCCCTCTACTTCTAGGGCACAGCGAGGAGGGTGGCACTCTGGACTGCTTGAGGGTAAGCCATGGGACGACCTCAACATCAAATACGAGATCTGACAGATGTAGAAATTAGTAAGAATCGAATAGGAGCGATGGTAGATAGTGGGTCCACCAAAAGTTTCATTAGCGGCAGAGCGCTGAAGAAGTTGCACCCTGGCATGAAGGTACATCAACTTTGAGAACCGGTCATTAGCACCCTCGTAGATGATAGACAGATGAGGGTAGATAGCTACGTTGAAGGGGTCAAGGCATATTTCCGGTTGGAGGGCGAAGGGAAGCTAGAAAAAGTCCTACATTCCCTAACGCTCTTAGTGGGGGATAACCTACCTCCCTTTTGGCGTTGTTCGAGGGACTGACTGGGGAGAAGCAGCAGAGTCCACAGTGGACATGAGAGAGAAAACCTGCAAGGTACGCAGTCCCACAGGCGACGTGAAGATAGTCCGCCTATTCCATACGTCTGGATTGGAGTCCCCGTTATCTCATTGTTGCATAGTGGCCCAACCTTTAGCAGGTTGGTGTACAAGGAGGGGCTACAAGACCAAGTCTTTATAGCTTTCGTCAAGCCAGTGACCGACCAGCCCGAAGAGGAGCAGGAAATGCCTCCATCTATAGCCAAGCTACTGAAAGAATTTTCCGATGTAGCCAACCACCCTCAGGGGTAGTAGAGCGAGATATCAAACACTGGATTGAGATTGAACCCGACAGCAAGAATCCCAAGAGAGCAGTCTATAGGACGTCTCCCCGAGAACAAGAGGAACTACGAAGACAACTTAACGAGCTGCTAGAGAGGGCTGGATAAAACCCAGATCCTCACCATATGGCGCACCGTTCCTGTTCGTTCCAAAAAAAAGGGGGAACTGCGAATGCGCATAGATTATAGGGGACTGAACGTGATCACCGTCAAAAATGTCGAGCCGCTGCCTAGGATAGACGATCTGCGAGAACGAGTGCAGGACTGCTAGTATTTATCTAAAATAAATTTGAAATGAGGCTACCACCAGTAAAGCCAGAGGATCAGCATAAGACCGCGTTCCGGACCCCATATGGGCACTATAAATTCGCAGTCATGCCTTTTGGGCTGACTGATGCCCCAACCACATTTCAGCGCTGCATGAATTACCTTTTCATACCCTGGTTGGATAGATTCGTAGTCGTGTATCTAGATGATATTCTTGTCTTAAGTAAAAGTTCGGAGGAGCACGAGGTGCATCTGCGACAGGTTCTGCAAGAGTTACGAGAGTCTAATTTCAAGATTAATCCAAAGATGTGTGAATGGGCGAAACAAGAGATATTGTACCTAGGCCATGTGGTAGACAGTGATGGAGTCAAACCAGAGGACATCAAGATAGCAGCCATTAGAGATTGACCAGCGCCACTTACGTTGACCGAGTTGTGATCTTTTTTAGGACTCGCTTATTACTATAGGAAGCTCGTGAGGAACTTCTTAGCAATTGTGGCACCTTTGCGCAGGCTTCTCAAGGAAGACATAGTCAGGAACTGGTACAAAGACTGTACTTCAGCTTTCAAGAAGTTGAAGAAGGCCATGATAGACTACTCTGTCCTGAAAGTAGCCGATCCGTCCCTACAGTTTGTCATCACAACCGACGCTAGCCAATATGAAATAGGTGTTGTGTTACAGTAGGACGACGACAATGGTTAAAGACCGGTTGAATTTATGTCATGTAGATTGCCCTCGGATAAGTAGCAGATTCTACATATAAGAGAGAGTTATACGCGCTTAGACATGCCTTGGACCATTGGAGACACTACCTGCTAGGGCGACACTTTAAAGTTTACTCACGCCACGAGACGTTGAAGTGGTTGAAGATGCAAGCCAAGATGACTCCTAAGCTAAGTAGGTGGGCCGCAGAGATAGACCAATTTGACTTTGACCTAAAGACAGTCTTTTGCGCTAGTAGCAGACGCCCTTAGTCGGCGTGCAGATTTCTTCCGTGCTGTAGTACACTATTTGGACACTACAGCTGATTTGCAGCAAAAGATAAAAGTTGCATACCCCCATGACCCGATCTATAGTGAGATTATCAAAAAGGTACAGGAGGCCTCACATTTAGAGCCCCATTATAGGATAGCCGATGGATTACTCTTTGAGAAGACAAATGTGCACGACCGCTTGTGTGCGCCTGACAAAGAGGAGATATGCAGTCTGATATTAGGTGAGTGTCACGACATTGAAGGCCATTTTGCATGAAAGAAGACACTAGCTAGCTTATCTAGGACCTACACATGGCCCGAGATGAAACAAGACTGCATAACCTATATCCAAGCATGCAAAGTTTGTCAACGGAATAAGAATCCCACACAAGCACTGATAGGACTGCTTAGACCTTTGGCTATCCCATCGGGACCGAGGGAATCAATATAGAATTTATGGACACAGGGATCCATAGTAGAGATGGTCATAGTAGACCGATTCAGTAAATATGCTGCTTTTGTACCATTACCATCAGAAGCCAGTAAAAAAAATCTAGTCATTAGAAAGTTCTTCGAGCACTGGGTTAGCAATAATGGAATCCCAGTGACCATAATTAGCGATAGAGACACTAGGTTCAATAGCGAGCACTGGCAGCAGTTGATAAAGGTCTATGGTTCTAAGCTACTAATAATGTCAGGTAGGCACCCCGAGACTAATGGCCAGACTGGACAAATGAATAAGATACTGCAACAACTGCTTCGTATGTACAGTAGACCAGATCATATTAACTGAGACGATCTACTCCCAAAGGTAGCTAGCGCGTATAACAATGCTTCCCACTTAGCTACCACGAACTACACAAGGCATGGGAACCGAGGCGACCATTTGATGGACTAAACCGAGATCAGATTCAAAGACTACCCCCAGGTACCAGAGAGTTTGCGGTACACTATGAAAAAGAACTTTAGACTGTAACTGAAAACCCATGAAAGGCGCAACACACAATGATTGAGCAAGCGAATAAACACCGACAGCCATCTAGTTTCGCCATAGGAGATTTCGTCTGGGTCAGCCTGAGGAGAATATTTCTCAAAAGTTGTTACTCCCATACAGAGGACCCTGGGAAGTCCTCAAAGTAAGAGGAGGAGTAGCCTATACGATTGATATACCACTTCACCTACATACTTATCTCGTCTTTGATCCTCTAAGCTACTGCCTTGCCTGACTAACAATCAGTTTCAATCTCGTACATCGATGATTCCCCCTGACATGGATGGTAGATATGATGTTGACAGGATTGTTCATGAAGACACTTTTAGGACAGGAGGAAGGGGACGACCACAAAGGCAGTATAAAGTCCATTTCGCTTACCAAGAACCAGAGGATGGCAGGTGGTTTACTAGGACGGAATTACTAGAAACCGCGCCAGGGATAGTGCATGCCTACGAGAGGAGAACTCGGAGAGTTTAGAGGTGTTATCGGAGGACCTCGAATCTAGACCGGCGGGAGTGAAAGGATCACTGTGTCCCAACACGCCCGGGCCCAGGCACAGGCCCAGTAAGTCGTAGAATAGGGTCCGGCGAGCTTAGGGTTGAGTCGCACTCAGAATAGAAAGTTCTGGTAGGTTGTAGGAAGTCAGTCCAGTCCAAAATGGGTCGCAGACCTGAGTACGGACGCCGCCCGGCCGGGCGGGGCCCGGGCAGGTCGCCCGAGCAAACCGGGCGAGCCAAAAAACAGCCCAGAAATATATATATATATATATATATATATATATATATATATATATATATATTTTGAGGGCGGGGTCCTACTGTGCTCGGCGAGAGGACCCCGAATCTGCATGTATGTTGCCTGCTGTTTTGCTGCATGTGTGTGTGTGTGGGGGGGGGTTATGGGTGTTGGGGACTCTGCATGTATGTTGCCTGCTGTTTTGCTGCATGTGTGATACCGAGTATATACTAGGTTGGGGTCTCACGCGACCTCACGCGACCTGCGAATACGATGGAGAAGATGGCGGCGCCGGCAGGGCCGTATAGTGTGGTAGCGGTGTATGGCGACGGGCTGTGGCGGTGGTCCACAAGAAGAAGAAGAAGAAGAAGAAGAAGAAGAAGAAGAAGACGATGGGCGGAAGAGGAGGAGGAGAGATGAGGAAGGAGAAGAAGATGAGGGGGAGGCGAAGGAGAAAAGAAGAAGAAGAAGAAGAAGATGAAGATTTTTTTTTTTTAACCTGCGGCGCCTCAGGCGACCTGCAATACGATGGAGAAGATGGCGGCGGCGGCAGGGCGGTATGGTGTGCTGGCGGGGTATGGCGACGGGCTGTGGCGGCGGTCCTACAAGAAGAAGAAGAAGAAGAAGAAGAAGAAGAAGAAGAAGATTGGCGGGAGAGGAGGAGGAGGAGAGAAGCCGAAGGAAAAGAAGATGAGGGGGAGGCGGACGAGAAAAAAAGAAGAAGAAGAAGAAGAAGAAGAAGAAGAATGGCGGCTAGGGTTTTGGCGGCGATGGAGGGGAATGGCGGCGCGGTATGCCGTTAGGGTATGGCGGTCCAAGAAGAAGAAGAAGAAGAAGAAGATGGGCGGAAGAGGAGGAGGAGGAGAGAATTGGAAGGAGAAGAAGATGAGGGAAGGCGGTAGAGGAGAGAAGAAGAAGAAGAAGAAGAAGAAGAAGAAGAAGATGACGAGGGGAGCAGTTTTTTTTTTCCTTACCTGCTGTTTATCTCGCGACCTATCAGGAACGAATGTAAAAAAAAAAAAAAAAAAAAATTCTCAAAAAGAAGATAGAGAGNAAAAAAAAAAAAAAAAATTCTCAAAAAGAAGATAGAGAGCAGGAGGAGGAGAGAACAATAAGAAGAAGAAGATGAGGGGGAGGAGGACAACGAGAGATGAAGAAGAAGAAGAAGAATAAGATGAGAGGGGGATAAAAGGGCCCTTACCCGATATAGGCCTCAGACCTTGTAAAAATAAAGCAGCACGGGCCTTGAAAAAGTAAAGCATTGTGAAAAGGTATCTCGCCAGGGCTCAGAAACGTGAAAGCAGGTCAAAGCTCAAGTTCTCTATCAACAGGCACCTCTAAATCTGAGGCAAAGGGCATTGTCAAAAGACTTACCTGTTCACCAGGAGCTGTGTATGTTATGTCTGTTCGGGTAAGAGTGTGTCTGTACGCACTGACAGTGTACCTGTTCGTGCAAAGGAAAGTGTCTGTTCAGGCAGTAAATGTGTCTGTTCGTTTAGAGTTCTGCCTGTCCGAAAGTAAAGTCAATAGGCACAGTCCCAGTTCTGGTCCAAGTCAAGGAGTCAGTCCAGATCTAGACTTTGAAGTCCAAATCTAGGCCGAGAGGCCTCAGCAGCAGTCGAACCTCATTGGGACTACACTGGGACACATGCAATGCAGGGTCTGGGACAAAGGATAGGCTGAATTGAGCCAATGCAGACCCAGCGAGGAGTGGCCAGCACTATAAAGAAAGCTGCCAGCCTCATTCCTCGCTAGATCTCCACTGGCTGCTATGCGTGGAAGTGCTGGTGCACTTGTGCGCTGAGTCAGGAGGAGCAGCGCTGGAGGTAGAAGATGCGCTGAGTGGAGGAAGAAGCCTGCACGCTGGAAGTGATGCAGCCATAGCTGCCCARCGAGTTAGYATTAGTAGTAGAGGGTTAGTATGTAGCTATGAGTAGYATCCAGAGTAGATCCTTATGAGTGAAGAGTGTGTATGCATCGTAGGAGGAAGGGACTAAGGCTGAGAGTGYTCATTCAAGATTCGGCTATGGAAGATACTTACCTGAGTTGGGTGTGACCTGCAGAGGTGGCGCTGATGAGTAGTGACCACATTGATGATTTGGAGACTATCTGCAGGAGTAGCGCTGATTCACTGGAAGCCATACTGATGAGTTGACGAGAGATTGGTGTTGCGCTGATGAGCGCTGGACTCAGGAGAACTTTGAAACACTTTGTATTCATATTTCTGATAATATAAGCTGTGGAACTCGGTCCTCTTCTCATCTACCTTTGTCTATGAATGGAGACTATTGATCATTGTGTGTGAGAGTGATGCATGACATGTACACACTTGCGTGAGATGGTCCCCAGGACCCATGCAATTTTGGTATCGGAGCAGATGCCCGCTACACTCATAGCGCTGGTCTGATCAAGGCCGGCGAGACGAAGTGGCGAAGAGTGAAGGAGGGAGGAAGAGAAGAAGGGTTTTGATAGTGGGGGAAGCAGGCCGAAGAAGAAGTGGCGAAGTCTACTTACCTGGAGCATGTGGAGCGTCGTGGAGCATCATCGGCGGTATCTTCAAGAAGAGAGAAGCACCTCCTTTCCCTGAACCTGCATGTATGTGTGTGTCCCCTACCTTCTCTCTCTCTGACCCTCTGAAGGTGACTGCTGCTGATCTGGTCAGGAGTCGAAGTCTGGATCTGGGTTGTCATAGCTGTCAGGTCTGAGCCGTAAGAGTCTGATGACCCAAGTGTGACGTGTCAGGAACTGGTCACACTAGAGTAGGTGGTCCAGTATTCTGCGAATAGGAGTAGGTCTCTCTCTTATCCCTCTTGATAGGCAGGTTGGGTATCGTCATCAAGAACCAAGAATCGATGTGGGAAGTGGCTATGTGCCACGTCAGATAGTATGTACCAGGGCATAAGAATGATATTGAATCTACAGGGCCTGTTGAGCCAACAGAAAGAAACATTGGAACGAAGTATTCCTGCATGGTTGGATAAGTGAACCATCTGAATCTGCGCTGTACTCCATACCTGCATCAGACACCCAGCAAGTTAGTAAAAGGAAGAAAAAAGCGTCTATATCAAAAGAGGAAGTAAGACAACAGAAACACATTACCAAAAGTTCGATCCAGGAGGCCAGGCAACACATAAAAAATAAATAAATAGACATATTCAAGTTTATTCTAGTTTGATCTATTGTTGATTGTACGCAACACCTTCTACCGTTAAAAAAAAAAAAAAAAAAGGAAAGTATAACTACTCCATTACCGGAAGTCAAGACCAAGTCCGTAAGTGGGATAGTACCTTGGTGACCCGGCGGAGGGTTTCCTTTGCCGGTAGTCATCATGGATGACTATCCCATTCAGGGCCTGTTGGCCCTTTCTGTCTTGTTGGGCCTGATCTTCCGGCTAATTTTCCCGTTGGAATTCGGACGCGTCTGTGCGTCCCGCATGTTGTTGAAGTCCGGAACAGTGAAGCCTGGGCCCACACCTGCGGAGCAAGCAGAAATTGACCGCAGGCTGGCAGATAAGAAAAAGGAAAAAGAAGCAAAGAAAAAACAGAAAGAAGAAGAAGCAAGAAAGAAAATGAAAGAGAAAATGGACAAGGAACTAGAAGAAGAATTGAAAAGTATACAAGAAGAAGAAGAAGAAGAAGAGCAAGAGGAAGTGGAGACTTTAGTAAGATGTCGTCCCATTGACATCCCGGAGAGTAGTACAACACAGTGGCTTCCGGTTGAACCGCTAAATTGGGCTGACCAGTATTATTACTCCAGGGAAATCCTAAAAGAGTCTGAAGAAGAATGTGATGTGTTCATTGCAAAATTAGCCACGGTGACAGATACGGTTGAACGCAATCTGATGATGGCAAAGAAAAGGGCTGAGTTGAACAGCAAGTTGTTAGCAGCCAGAAGACAAGAAGTGAACGAAAAGAAAAGGCTGCAGGCAGAAGGGGAGAAATTGCAGAAGGCTCTAGAAGCGCAAAAGGAAAACCCCTCTGAAACTGAAGCACAGCTTGCGCTCCTCAGGGAGGCCGTCCTCAACACGAGGCAAGACATGGACTTAATGCGTCAGACTTTGCAACGCGTAGAAACACATCGAGTGGAATTCGAAACAGTCTGGAACAACTTCTTGGAAAAGTCAGCCAAGGATGTGGACCATCATGTTCAGACCTATATCCAGGCTTTAGATGACCACGTCAGTAAGACATTCACCCCCGAAGTTATAGAAAAGATTGTAAAGGGAGCTRGAGGCGACGGAGGAGATGGAGATGGCGACGACGATGATGATAAGAAAGGAAAGAGGAAGATTGGGGATCCAAAAGAAAAACTTCCTCAGGAAACCGGGCAGGTTAACAAGATAAAACTTAAACTGCCTTGGACCTACAATGGAAAAAAAGAAGAGAGTGTGTTGCACTGGGTGGCAACAATTGAAACCTATGTGTACGGACAGCGTATCCCATACTGGGACAGGGTGTTGATGGCCACTTCGTGTATGGGAGGCGACGCCATGAGCTTCGCCATCTCGCTGCAAAAAGAGGCGGGATGCAGCTCTATGGTAGAGTATTCGCAGCAAACGCGAATCGAGGATTTCCTTAAGTCGATAAGAAAAAGATTTGAGGATAAAAACTTGGCAAGATGCACAGAAATGTTGATCCTCAGCCTTCGTGATAGGAAGTGGAAGAGTACTTCTGCACTAAAGGCCACTATGGATGAATTATTGCAATGTCCTGATCACGGGTTGACGCCGGCCCAAATCTTAAACAGTTTTGCACGAGCACTCCCGGATCCCCTGAGAACGCAACTCTATCCCCGCACAAAGGAAGAGGGGATGACGTATGAGAAGTTCGGCAAGATCGCAATAGATCATGCCGGCTTCCTCGCTGAAGCGAATTATTGTCATTATTGGAAGGATCTGCAAGCGGGTAAGAGATGGCAAAACCGCACYATCTCAGGGTCTATACYTGGGAAAGACAGTCTCCTTCTAACCTTTGAAGAAGGAGGCGCCGAGACCATCTCCTAGGATCAGGTTGACTATGGTCTCGATGAACCCAACAGACCGGTAACTCGGGAGGGGAGTTACGCGGCTGTTGCAGCCCGCGGGGGGGCGTCAAGGAAGAGGGCGTGGCCGAGGAAGAGGTCGCGGCCGTGGTGGACGAGGATTCGGCACCCAGAGGGGTGGTGGTGAAGGAAGCCACTACGTGGGAGGAAGGGGAAATGATCCCTCATACGGTGGTCGTGGTTCTTACTCCACCTGGGGTAGAGGAAGAGGCTCATGGTACAATAAGTGGGATAAGCCATACCCACCACATCCCGGCCTACCGGAAGGAGAGCCTTGGAAAGAATTGGGAATCACAGAAAAGGTCTGGCAAGAGAGAAAGAAAGCCGACCAATGCCTCAAATGTGGGGACCCCGACCACATTGTCCCCTATTGCCCTGACTATAGGGGGGCAAAAGGGAACAGCCAGTAGAGGTGCCAGTTGCCTCTACCGGAGCTTCGAATGTTGAAAAACTAGAATCCTCCCATTTGAAGGCTCCACTGCCAAAAACTGAAGAGGAAGGAAGTCCCCATTTAGTACCCTGTCCAGAGGTGGCAATCGTATGTATCTCTCTAGATGGATCCCTCGCTGGCGTGGGTGATGAGTTGGCCGCTTATCACCAAGCCTGGACTGAAATGCGAAAAAAGAAAGGACAGCTAATAATTGCAGATCTAGAAATAAATCGAGTTAGAGTAGGAGGTATGATAGACAGCGGGTCTACACGCAGTTATATTAGTAAAAGAGGTTCGCAGAAACTGCGTCTTGGGCTTAAAGTAAAAGAGTTAGATGAGCCCATTGTAAGTAAGTTGGCGAATAGTAGTGAAACTGTCATGGATCGATACGTCGAGGGGGTACAGGTATACTTTCGGCTAGAGGCAGAGGGGAAGGTGGAACGCGTTCTCCACTCTCTGACCTTCTTGGTGGAGGATAACTTGCCCTTTGATGTGTTGCTAGCAGGGTTGTCGAACCTTGGCCCCGGGACCCCGCCGGGGTTTCGGGGTTC